TCTAAAATATGATAATTTTGTATAAACCCTGATAAGAACTATACTCAATCTGAGTGGAAAATACTTATCAGAACTGATTTGTACTCTCCACCGAATGACTGTTATCTGTAAATCTCCATTACCCATAACTTTCTACCATTTTGGTGTTGATCTATAAAACATAACAGATGAATATTTTCAAGTTTTAGTTTTTGTGGAAATTTAATTGGTTTCACGTCTGGTCATGGATTGATTTCATGGGAGTTCATAGATCTATACTATTGAAGAGTCCCAAGCTAGGGACGAAAGATTTTTCTCGGTATTCCCTAGCTTTCAGTAGTTCTTCAACTGATATCGATCAGTCCATGATCAAAGTGGATTAATATTAGCTTCATCCTTATTTGCCGACCTTATATGGTAGTTATCAGAACGTCATAGGTTGAAATCCCTCAGTAAACTGCTCAACTCCATTTCAGTTGATAAACAGGAAGATCTTAGTTTTTGATTCAATAAAAAAATCACTTTTTATTCAAATTAGACCTGGAATGAAAAGTGAAAGTACATATTTCATTAAAAACTTAAGTTTTTCATTCAGCCGGTTCTCTTTACTATTTTGAATAAAGAAAAGACGAACATATTTGTAGGATAATACCAGATCGTTTTATTTTGTGGATTCTCTCCAAACTGCGCCCATCCTAAATAAATCAATTGAATGTTACAAAATGGTGTCTGAACATACTTTTTTTTTTACAATGACTTCAAGTTACAGATAGAAAGTATTAGCAGCATAATTTCAAAGGTGATGTAAGTAGACAATTATTTAGTGTTAAAAGAGTAACTATTTATACAGTAATTAGACAAAGGGGTGGAATTCAGACTTATCTTGGAAACAAGGATGGACTAGAGACAAATTACAAGATACAACAACAGAATTAATTTGTACTTATTACGGTAAAGTGTTCAAGAGGATGAGGGTGAAGTGAAATGAAGTAAATGATAAAGTATGATGGGAAAGATTTGCAGCTCAGGTTACCAGGAGAGATGACTAATAAACTCATGGAGTAATTCAAAAGCTCACTTCAACAATTTGATGTATGCGTTGAAGATGTTGGCCTGGTAGGACAATGAAAGCTTCGTAAATAAACCATTCAGCTCAGAGAACACAAATGTATCAAAATTACAAAGTGGATAAAAGAATTTGATTTAGTGGATTTGTAAGTTTAATATGTGAGTTCAACTCAGTGAGTCAAATTATATATGTCCAAACCAAGTTCACTTTAAACAGTTTGAAAAAAATTGGGCATTAGGTATATGATATTCATTATAATAAAGGTTTTTGTATTTCCCAATGAATGAAAAACAAAACGATATTGCTTTTACTGACGTTTCTCCATTTGATGCTGACAGCTTTATCAAAGTATTATTAAACCGGAATTTACAAAATCTCAGCCTATATATAACAAAGAGTTAAGAGGTGAGAAAATAGACTTAGGTCAAGTTAAAAGGATGTATTGAAAGTCAAAATAACAATGAAGATCACTAAACCAAATAACAAACGTAATAGTACATCTACTATAGTATCAAAACAAAGTTTACCAACTTGATCATCGTTCGTCAGTCTGGGGTTATTTTTCGTTGTCAAATTGGTCAGTTGGTAAACATAACAAAACCAAGTGTAGATTGTTGGATTTGATCAGTGTGTAACATTATAAAAGTAGTGTGTGTTTACATAATGAACTTGCTTATCCCATTCGTGTTGATTTCGTCACTTCATGGGGGAGAGGAGGGAGGTGTTGTAACCAGGTCAGATTCTGTTTTAGTCCATCATTCCTGTTCAGTAATTTGTATTCCATTTGATATGCAGTGCTTCTGATATTAGACGTTCTTTGTGATTCCTGACGATTTTCTGGATTATTTCAATATTGTCAAAATCAATTTTGTGGCCTGATTCTATAGCGTGTAGACACATGGCTGATGATTTTTCAAGCTTTCCTAGTTCAAATGAATTTCTCGGTGGTCGAACAAATGCTCTACGGTGTTCATTTCTTCTGATTTTGATTTCTGTGCGACGATGTTTGTCCGATGTATATCGCATCATATTCCAAGTGTTTCATGTTTTAGATACAATAAGATAGAGAATCCTTAGGGATTTGGTCTTTTTTACATGGATGAGGTTGCTTTTTATTAAGTCTGATGTCTTGAAGAAAACTCTGATGCTGTAATTATGAAGTACTCTTCTGATATCACCAGACGTTTCTGACCAATATGGAATGACAACTGTTGAAGTTTATTTCTTCGAAATACGACTTCGACCATATTTAACGTCGGTGTTGATTTGTTGACGAAGTTCTGTGGAAAGTTATTTTTCTTGAGAGTCTCAGAAATGTTTGATATTTCTTTTTCCTTCTCCTCTGTTATCAGAGACTTGAAAGAACTGAAATCTTTGCGCTGATCTGGTGTGACGATCCGAAGTCTAAATATTTGTTGGAAATGGTTTTCTTCCTGAATATGGATATACTCAAATGTCCGTTTTCCCTCCTCTTAACTGGTCAGGCAGTCTAGAAATGGTAGTTCACCGACGTCTGATTCTGCTTCCGAAGTAAACTGGATTCTGGGAGATACACAGTTTATTTTCTCCAGGAATGACTTGTGTAGATCTCGTTTTAGTACTACAAAAGTATCATCCACATATCTTAACCATATTTTAGGAGTGTGTATACTTGAGAAGATGTTATCTTCGAATCTATTCATGAAAAGATCGGAGACTATTGGGGAGACTGGCATATATATATGCCGAGATTTTGTAAATTCCGGTTTAATAATACTATTAGCAGCATTAAATAGCGAAACGTCAGTAAAAGCAATATCGTTTTGTTTTTAATTCATTGGGAAATACAAAAACCTTGATTATAATGAATATCAGTGAGTCAAAATCAAGATTAAGAGGAATGTTTTGCAACAGAACAAAACACAAAAAGCCGCAAACATAACAATTATGGTTACCAGAGCAGTGAGAGATTAATCACACACATACTGACTGTCATTCTGTATGCATAGGTTCTTTATCAGATATTTAAATATTGATACCCTTAAATGTTTTGTTTTGTTTTCACTATGCGCTTTCTTTAAATTTGTTAAAAAAAAACAAAACTGATCCCTACAAACGAAACTATAGAAAATTAATCTGATACTCGCTAGGGAATTGCTACAGGATGGAGTTTCCTGGAGTTCTAGTGGGGAGTGTTAACCAGTGAGGTCCATCCAGATGTCATGTGTGAGGATGGATGTCCCACCAACGACAATGGCTGGGATTGCGCTAAATCATGAATTGGTAGAAGTTAGAATTTATGGACTGGCCATTGAATCGGGTCCCAGTGGCTGAATGGTATACGAGTTCGCTGGCCTTGTAACCGGAAGGTCCTGGGTTCGAACCCTGTCAGTGGGTGTGTACTTCCGATGATTCCCAAACTAGTGGGATGAAACAGCAGCTGTCCAGTACTCCGGTGCTGGTTTTCAATGGTTCTCTAACTGATATCAATCCGTGATCAACTCGTAAAATCGAAACTAACCCTTACAAACCAAACTGTAGAAAAAAAAATCATAGTATCAGTTTATGTATTTTTTACCTATTGACTTGTACTCAGTTAGCCAAGTGCAAGTATTTTAAAACACCCTCAAGATATGCATATTATATATACTTTTTATGACTTAGAATTAAGCAAATAGTATTGAATATTTAACCTACTCATTTCATTTCCAATGAATAATGACCTAAACAGGAGAGAATGAAAATTTATCAGTAATGATTAACATAATAGATTGGTATATTACAGAGATGATAAATGGCTCAATATAATACAATACAGTTTGATTCAATAATTCCCATTAGATATAATTTTTCTTTCTTTCTTTATTTGTGAATATTTGAATACGATTGACAGTAACTATAAGAGTACAATGTGAACTTCATTTGTTTCCTTTTAACTACATCACTGAGCGGCACAATAAAGTACAAAGCATTCTTTATTACTTTTTCTCCCTGTAATAATAATAATAATATTAATAATAATCGAGCAAAATCCTACGATCAGTATGGAAGTCATTGCCAACACACAGTTCTTTGCTTTGATTTTGTAGAAGATGTATGCAACAACTTATTGGTGGTCAAAATTTAATCAGTACGTACCACAGCTTAAAACATACTTTATCACCAGTCCTCCTCGTCATCAATGTATGCTTTTGGTTAAATGTTTTTCTACAAATAATCAACACCATCAATCTGGATACGATGGAGAAAATTGTTTATCTCAGAATGGATGATATACTCGTGTAGTTGTGTCCTCTGAGCTGGATAGTATAGTCCCAAAACGCTCATTATCTTCCTAGACAGCATATTCAGTGCTAACTTTAATAATCTACTTAATAGGATGTATTTTTATATCAGTGATACTATTCACACAATGTTAGGATTTCATCGTGAGGTGACATCAGTAAGAAAATCACTGGTAAACCTGGGAGTACTGGACAGCTATTTCGTCCCAGTTTGGGGCTCTTCATAAGTACGCACCCATCGAGGTTCGTACTCAGGGCCACTGGATCGGGTGCTAGTGGCCTGTAGGTCTACGAGCTCTCGTTGTAACCAGAGGGTCCTGGGTTCGAACCCCGCGGTATGGATGCGTACTGATGAATAGTCCCAAACTAGGCTGAGGAAACAACTGTCCATTACTCCCTGGTTTTCCAATGGTTCTCTAACTGATGTCAGCCAGCTCATGATGAAATCCTCCAACGAATCGAACAAGAAATTCCTACAAAACCAATACAATGTTAACTTATTGCTCGTTTACGTTAACCCTTTATGAAAGCAGTTACTACTCAAAGTTATTTCATTTTTTAGCATATCACTTGTCTTATCTAAATCTAATCGTCAAAACACCAGTAAATGATTTATTAACTTTAAACAAATGTACACACTGAATAGAAAATCATAAATTTTACCTTGTTTTTTTTTCTACTTTTTACAGAAACCTACAGATGAAATTGGTAAAGCTTATGTTGAATTCCTTCGAGTCAATTTAGAACAAATGCGTCAGAAAGTTTCTGATGAATTGTATATTCTTTCAGTTATGGAAGTAAGTTAATTCATCTTTGAATGAATGTATGAATGATTGGTTGATTGATTGATTGTCAAGTAAATGCTATCTCTATCTACAACAACAAAAAAAATAACGAACCAATTCAGATGATTGATAATAGGAGTTTGATTTGTTCACTGGGGGAGGCGGGGGGGGTCTACATATTTTAGACAAATATCTTTTCCATAACTATGAGTGAAAAAATTTGAATGAAATTGATTATCCAGTGCACGGACGAGCAACAAAAACAGGAGCTGAATGCAAGCTACAATACACTGAACAAAAGAGTGAAGAAAAGTGCCAGGGAAGACAAAAGAAAATATTATGAAACCATGGCAAACGAAGCAGAACAAGCTGCAGGCAAAGGAGACCTCGCCACACTCTACCAAACAACTAGGAACCTTTCGGGCAAACGTTCGACACAGATTAAGCCAATAAAGGACGACAATGGAAAGTCAATCACCAAAGAGGTGGAACAGAGAAAGCACTGGGTTGAACACTTCAAAAGACTTCTAAATCGTCCGCCACCTACAACACGTCCAGCAATACCAACAACGGAAGCAGAACTACCAGTGAACACTGACCCCCCGACGAAATCAGAAGTCCTGAATGCAATCAAGATGCTTAAAACTGGGAAAACACCGGGACCAGATGGAATCCCAGCAGAGGCTTTGAAAATAGACCCAGAGACAACAGCGGACTTGATGACACCACTACTGGAGAAGGTGTGGAAAGAGGGCAAAGTACCCGAGGATTGGAAGAACAGTTACTTATTCAAACTTCCAAAGAAAGGAGACTTAAGTCAATGTAAAAACTGGCGTGGAATTATGCTTCTGTCCATTCCAAGCAAGATACTAAGTCGCATCATCCTGGAGAGAATCAAACAAGCCCTAGATGAAAAACTTCGTCCGGAACAGGCTGGATTCAGGAGAAACAAATCATGTATTGATCAAATCGCCACTCTACGGATCATCATTGAACAAAGCTTGGAATGGCAGTCACCTCTCTATCTCAACTTCATCGACTTTGAAAAGGCCTTCGACAGCGTCGATCGAGAGGTCATTTGGAAACTACTTCGCTACTACGGGGTCCCATCGACAATTATACACCTCATCCAACAGTTATACGACAATGCTGCATGCCAAGTAATCCACAACGGGAAACTTACGGAAGCCTTCGAAGTGAGGACGGGAGTGAGGCAAGGCTGTCTACTATCACCAATGATCTTCCTGATTGCAATTGATTGGATAATGCGACAGACAACGGCAACCAACGAGGGAACAGGCATAAAATGGACTGACACAAAAGACTTGGAGGATCTGGATTTCGCCGATGATATATGTCTGATTTCCCATAAACTGGAAGATATGCAAATGAAAAGTAACAAGTTGGCAGAAGAAGCATCAAAGATAGGACTTCACGTGAACATAGATAAAACAGAGATGATGAAGATTCCTTGCCAACATCAACAACAACAACAGACCACAATAAGCATAAATGGGAAGAACCTGAAAGAAACAACCTCCTTCACCTACCTGGGAAGCATCGTCTCAACTACAGGCGGAACTGACGAGGACATCAAAGCCAGAATCGGAAAAGCAAGACAAGCTTTCATTACTCTCAAATCTGTGTGGAGGTCAACAGCACTCAGCATCAAAAATAAGATCCGGATTTTCAACTCCAATGTGAAGTCAGTGCTACTATACGGATCAGAGACTTGGCGAGTCATAAAGAGCATCTCAAACAAACTTCAAACCTTCATTAACAACTGTCTCCGCTCAATACTCAAGATCAGATGGCCAGAAAAGATCAGCAACAGGGATCTCTGGGAGCGAACCAATCAGGAACCGATTGTGAAACAAATAGGCAGAAAGAAATGGAGATGGATTGGCCATACGCTGAGGAAACCATCAAGTGACATCACTAGACAAGCCCTCGAGTGGAACCCGAAAGGGAGGCGGCGAGTTGGTCGTCCAAGGGTGACTTGGAGGAGGTCATGTGAAGAGGAGATGAAAGCATGTGGGCAGACCTGGAGCAGGGTGAAAAAGTTGTCAGAAAACCGAAGTCAATGGAGGTGCGCAGCTGAAGCCCTATGTTCCTCTAGGAACTAAAGGATACAATAATAATAATAATAATTGCCATATTTGTTTCTCAGGTGTTTTCAGTTTAAAATTGCCAATCTCGCTTCATTTATCTCTATCCATTCCTCTAACTGTCTTGATATCAAACTAGTGAAACAGTTCATTTGTTATTAGTCTGTTCTGCATTTCAGCTTACTAATGATAAAAATTATTTACTGAGCAATAAGGTAATAATCAGATACAAGATTTAACAGTTTAATGACTATAAACTTAATTTCATCGTAATATGGAAATGCTGCTTCAAAACACTGTCCAACAAATCGATTTCCTTGCAGGAATTATTCTACATTTTAATATTGATAAGCCTAGCTCACACATAAGACACCTTGAATATAAGGAATTGAAATCCCTTGGAGACATTCTAGTCAAAAATGGATATCCAACCTCCTTCATGAACAAACACCTAAAGAGAAAGACCGATATTCCACAAAATCTTTATGTCCTGAATAAACAACTAATTTTAAATCTGAAATTCAAAGGAGATACAATTAGTAAAGTTCTAAGAAGCCACCTGTAGTCAGCACTTCAAAGAACGTTCTTTGTCACACCTTTACGCGTCACCCTCCCTACACATATCCTTGTTCACCAAAACATCGAAGATAAGATCCCGTTGTTGGCAACCGGAGTGTACATTTACAAATTCACTTGCTCTTGTGAATCTAAGTACATAGGCAGTACCAGCAGGGCATTGTTTGGACGCGCCAACAAACAATTACCTGCATGAATGTAAAAAAAGAGCGCAGAAGAATCAATGGATCGATTATGAGGCACATTATTACTTTTCGTCACGCAGAATCAGCGAAAACTTCTTTCAGAGTCATACATAAAGTATGAGTAGGCCGTTTCAGCGGATTTTTTCTGCCTTTTCTTCACGAAGGCGAAGCTTTAGTGATCCATAAGAAGAAATCTGTCTGTTTGAACTTCGTGTTAAAAAAAATGTTGTCCAGCTTCTTTTACTACCGTGGCCTTAGTACTAATTTTCTTTTTTTCCGTTCTCCTGAATACCTATATGATAAATTCTTTGTCTTGTTTCGCAATCGATTTTCAAACCCTTGTCTTCTTTTCTCCTATCAATCATTTTCAGTGATGAGTACTCATCACTTAACTCGTTGTAAACTCTCTTGATTACATTAGATTATTTTCAATTTTCCAAATCTTGTTATTAATCATACACCTTGATTTATTTTGTTACTAACTGACTATAAACTCTGTCCTCTGTTGTCAGTTAACGTTGTATCTATATAAACCCCTAAATAACTGTACAACTTTGGAATGAACTTACGAAAAGAGACCTCTCTGCCGACTTATGTGCTCTTAATTACATGACATGAGAACTCCTCATACATTGAAGATATCATCGCTCTGCATTCTATCTTACAGTTTTTTACATGAATGAAGCCAACTTTGAATGGATAAAGTCGTCGAAAGACTATTAAAATATTCGATTTTCGAGGTAGTAATTAGCAGCAGAATATTTCTGTTCATAGGACTTAAATGCTGTGGATTAGTAGGATAACTAACTTTACACCATCATTTGATTTTAGGCAACAAAGTGTTGAACAGCCTACTCAGCAGTTAATTTATTCTGCCTGATTGTAACTGTCTCAAAACTGTAAATTACATTACAACGAAGTTAATTTTAAAACACCTGATACCTTTCAGGTGCATTGCTCAGTTTACAGAATTATAAACAAGTGTGACAACATCTTATAACTCATTAACTTTTGATTCGAATTTAGTTGTAGGTGATAACCTCTGCTTAAACTTCATTATTCATAAGAAAGCCAAATCCTTTCTCAAATAAACAAGTCAGTATCTACTGATTTAACTGCTCCTGTGGAGCCAGTTACATAGGCCGTACAATAAGGCGTGTTTCTCGTCAAATTTCCGAACATCACCCTGTGTGCTTAAGCAAGGGACAAACAAAATCTAGTCACATAGCGCTATTCTACCTCATCTTGTGGATATAGAACACAAAATTGATATTAACCAGGCTTTCAAGGTCATTTACCGCATGCGTACGAATTTCAATTTCGCCTTAAGAGTTCGACTACTTAATTTTGCTGAGGCTGTTGGGATCCATATTAACAAGCCTAATTTGTGCATCCAAAAGAAGTTAGTTCAGACATTATCCTTACCTTGGTCATCTAGGTGGCACAGTGGTTAGGACTCTCGCCGACCATATACATGGTCCGGGGTTCGAGCCCATGCCGGCGCACACCTGATATCTATGGTCGGCCTGAAAAATTTGGGCTACCGATATCCATGCTGAAAATTCCATACTTGTACCAAAAATACAGTGTGGAATCAAGCTGTAAAAAAATCAAAAAAATCAAAAAATCAAAAATCAATGATCCTGAATTTTTGTGGATTTTTCCTAATTTTAGTTGATATTCTATTCGCTGTTATATCTTTATTATTACTATAATCTAAGCATCTTTAATGAACTGTAAATCCATTGATCTTACTTCACAAATCGATATTATTTGAAAAAACACTAATATTGTTATTAACTACCAATCTTGAATATTCTATGTATGTCAACATATATATAATTGTAGAGCCAGAAGAGGAATTTATCGAAAAGGATATTCCTTGCTCAATTATTTTGTATTTATAGATGTCTGAATGAATATTCTCACTAAAATCAAATAATTCACTTTCTGTCTCTCTCAGTAATTCAGTGTGATTGTGATTATATAGAATGGAAAGCTGATCTTCTTGCATTTCAAAACACCACTGTTATGTTTTTGAAATAATCACCGTTCTGTACTTCTTTTGTAACATAACTAATTATACTTCATAGCCTAATCTTATTTGGACAAATTTGCATTTAGGCGAGATTGTGAAGCGATT